TACAAAATGTCAAACAATAGTTGTGTTAAAGTTACTGACAGTGTTTTGCTTTCTCTTATGATATTAAATATTTGCTATGGGGTTATGATAGTTAACCTTTACCAAATTAAATATTTTTTTTGTTATTTTTAGCCTGAAAATTAGTAGAAATAGGGGTATTGCTTTATTAAATTTTTTCAGGATCCATTGGGATTTTTTTCTTTTCTAATCTGACAATATTGAGAAATATAGCAACAAATTTCCTAATTTTTAACCATGTTCACATTTCTGGGGTAAACCTTACTTGCTCCTAATGTGTTAAACTGATAATGGAATGTTGAATATATAATATTGAGATTAAGTGAATTTAGCCAAAATTTCTAATATACATTAAATTTTAGTTAAAATTTCTAATATAACTTGGTATTTAAAGCAGCTTATCATTCAGTTTGCTCAAGTACATTTCTACCCTATAATAGATAATATGGTACTTTTAGTGTAATATTTTATATCTGCACTCCAGCAGAATTGTATTATTTTACTTACTCAAACTATTTGCTTTTATTAGCAGATATTAACTGTTCAATGTTTTATATTGCTTTTTATGCAAATTTTGCCTTTAAATTTGTGTGTGTGCATATGTGCATGTGTGCACGCACATGTGCACACACACACACATGCCTGTATGTAACACGGGGGATAGAATCCATCAGCCTCATATATGCCAGGCAAGTGCTTTACCACTGAGCTACATCCTCAGCTCTTTTTATTTTATTTTGAGATAGGGTCTTGTTAAGTGCCATCTCTGGCCTCCAACTTATGATCCTTTTACATCAGCTTCCCCAGTAGCTGGGATTATAGGTATGTATGACCACTTCCAGCCACTATTTATTTTTTATAATGATGTTTTGAGGAAAAGTTATTTAGCTGGACTGTCATAAATTGTAGAGTCAGACTAAAAGATACATAGGAACAATAGAATTTACCATGTTTTTTTTATTTTGGTGCTATACCTTTCTCTAGGTCTTTACTGGTAGACTCAACAGAAATTGGTTAGAAATTTGGCCAATTATCAGCCCATAATTTCATAGTTACTCATTATCTCTTAGCCTTTATTGTGTCATCTATAATAATATCACTGATGGCTGGGCTAATAGACCCTCAAGAACAGATTAGCACTTTGATAAACTGTATAAATTTTCAGAAAGGCAAAAGTAAATTATACACAGCCATTAGTGGAATACAGAAAACAGATTTAATTTGTACCATCTGTCAGATCTTCATGGACCCTCACATTTCTGTCTTCTAAGTCCAGTGGGTAAATGATTGAGCCATGTCATTTCAAAAATATATGACAGTAGGGCTAGGGCTGTGGCTCAGCGATAGTGCACTTGCCTGGCATGTGTGAGGCACTGGGTTCAATTCTCAGCACCACATATAAATAAATAAATAAAGATTTATCAACAATTTATATATATTTATAACAGGCTATTGGCAGACTGTTGTAGAAGTATGGTGTAGAAAGCAAAGGAAAACCTTGATCGAGCTGGATGCCATGATCCATGTCTATAGTTCCAATTACTCAGGAGGCTGAGGCAGAAAGATTGTTTTGAGCCCAGGAATTCCATGCCAGTCTGAGTAACATCATGACACTTTGAAAACCGAAAAGAAAGAAGAGCATGAGGAAAAGGAAGAGGAAGAAGTAGAAGGAGGAGAAAGATCATCAGCAGAAGCAACAGTTTGATCAGCATCTGTGGCTCCAGAATTTCATCAGTACATAGTCCTGTCTTATAATACCTGCTTTAACCCAGCTTGAAACCGCAGGGGAGTGTGTCTTTTGCCATCATCAACTGTTATTATTTTGAAAATAAAGAGCAGAAACATCACTTCCAAGCTTTTTACACTTCTATTGCATCCTATCACACTTCCTTGTGGGTTGTTATGAAGCATAAGTAAGCCAGGTGCAGTGATGCACACCTGTAATCCCAGTGCCTGGGGAGCTTGGGGTAGGAGGATCACAGTGTGACAATTTAGTGAGGCCCTATCTCAAAAAATAAGGCAAAATATGGAAAGGGCTAGGGATGTAGCTCAGTAGAATAGTGCCCCTGGGTTCAAAACCCAGTATCAAAAAAAAAAAAAAAAAAAAAAAGGCTTAAATAAGACAAAGTATATGATACTATCTAGTGTAGTCCCTGCTGCATTTCTTTGGTTTTGTAAATATGAGTACTATGCTAAGCAGGAGATAACAAGGTTTTCAAGGACACTTGCCTGAAACATGATGGGAAAGGCACATAAATCACAATGCAGGGTGATAGTTGCCAGAGAGTTATGGCGACCTACAAGGTAAGCTCTGAACTCAAGACAGTAGAGTCCACAGAGCTGTTTAGTTCCATCAGGAGGTGCTGGGCCATCAGAAGAAAAGAGCTCCTCTGGGAAAACAGCAAGTGGCATATGGAGGCCCTGGCATGGGAGGCTGCAGTGGCTTCCATATAGGCTTTAGCAGCAGCCTCCAGGACCAAGGTTGTAGCTGTGGTCTGGGCAGGGTTGATGGCCCCAGAGCCCACAGAGTCAAGGGAGATTACAAGAAGTGTTCCCTGCCACCAAGCTGGGTTGCCTGGTCCAGGACATGAAGATCAAATCCCTGGAGATCTAATTCTTCTCCCTGCCCATCAAGGAGTCTGAGGTCATTGACTTTTTCCTGGGAGGATGACTCAAGGATTGCCGGGTTTCTGTTCTCGAGACTAAAAGGCTCAGGGGTCACTCTAGTTAAACTGGGCTAACTGGGCTGCACAAAATCACCACACAAGAGACACAAATACCTTTTTCTTTGGGGTTGCTGTGACGGCTCCTCTGACCTTAAGGGTCCACAGAAAGAGAGAGAGCAAGAGCAGCGCTGACCCCTTTTATTGAGGAGAAGCTATTCAAATGAGGCAAGGGGTCAGGTTTCAGGGGGCTGAGTCTATCTTCATTATGTCCACTGTCAGCAGGTTGACTGACACCTGGGTAGGCCACAGTGCACAGTAAGAGGAGGGAACACACACAAGGCACTTCCATGGAAGATTCTATCCTAAACAGGGCAAGGGGTTGTATTACAAAGGAACAGGTGAGCATAGCTTCACCCATGGGGCTGTAGCAAGACACACCCATTTCTGTGACTGAGCGCCTCAGCACCCAGCTGGGGAGTGTAACTCAGTCACCCATAAGGTTGGCCTCCCACAAAGGATGAGGTTTTGAAGATAATGCCTTTGGAGAAGCAGACTCACTCTGGTCAGTGTACCAGGTTCAAGAGATTAGTTCTTTTCATAGACTACAATGGTCATATCAACCCAGGAGTTAAGGATGCCAAGAAGGCAGCCAGCACTATCTTAGGGGCCATGATGCTGGCTAAACTCTCCATTGTACCTGGGGAAAGGCTACTGGGGTAACAAGATTTGAACACCCCATACTGTCCCTTGCAAGGTGGCAGGATGCTGTGGTTCTGTGCTGGTGCACCTCATCCCTCCTCCGGGGGCACTGGCACCATCTCAGCTTCTGTGCCCAAGAGGCTACTGCTGATGGCATTATTAATGACTGCTACACTTCTTCCAGGGCAGCACTGCCAACAGGGGCATTTTGCCAATGCCACCTTTGATGCCATCTCTGAGACCTACAGTTATCTGACCCTGGACCTCTGGAAAGAGACTATGTTCACTAAGTCTCTCTCTCAGGAAAAACCACAGCAAAGTCTCTCTGCGCAGAGGACTCAGGAACCAGCTATGGATACAACATAGGGTTTTTGTACAAGAAAAACAAAGTGAATCAAACCTGTTTACAAAACAAAACAAAGCAAAACAAAAAAAAAAAAGAAAGAAAGAAACGAAAAGAAAGTAAGAAAGAAAAAAGGATAAAGGTGGCTTAGTTGCATTGCACAGCCATATCATTGAGTTTAGAGAAAAAGCCACCTATATCCTGGGATTGCAAGTACATGGGTTCTGGGCTATGAAAATGGATTTCAGATAAAACTAACAGGACTTTGCAGGATCTACATCAGAGAAGTTCTTAGAGCAAGCAGCTGGGTTAGTCCTCTACTCCATGACTTAGGATCCCTGTAAACTCTATAAGAGTTTGTCAAGTAAGAAAGCCTCTGGTCCTCAAGGGCAAACTATGAAGTGCAGCTGTTTCCCTGTATCCCCAAAAGCTCAATGGCAGGTCAGTTTTGTAGCTTCCCCAACTACCCCAAGGGATAGGCTGAAATCACTTCTCAGTGACCCACAAGTGACTTACAAGTTTCTATCTTGCTCCATGCTCTCACCTAAGAAAAAAACTCAGTGTTTCCTAGAATAACTTGATAATCAAGTTTCCTCCACTGGGCCACTTATCTTTTAGGTATTTTTCAGGATAGGTTTGGGTCTAAGGGGCATAGTCAGGTCCCCTTATTTATTTGTTTCCTCTTCTATTTTCTCAACCTTTACAGTTACTTAGAGGCAGTGCTTACAATTGGAGCTAGAAGCCAGAGGGTTTATGTCAGTACAATACTAGTCCCACGTGCAGCGGCTAACTCAGGCTAACTCAGAATAGGACGCAGACCCTTGAGTCCAAGAGAAATAGGAATCTTAGTAAAAGTTGGAGGGTTCATTGCTGTTGATGCCAGCAAAGAGCAAAAACCGAAAATTCAGCAAACCAAATCAAAATTTTAAAAATTCCATCATTTTCTGTTCTTTGCTGTCTTTTAATCTGCTAGGGGTGGCGCATTGCAAATTTCAAACCTCGGTCCCTAGGGAGCCTCAGGGGCTGGGAGTGCCGGGGTGCGGCCCTGTCCTGGCGCCCGGCGCGGCGGCGCGCACACCCCTTTTCTGCAGACTCAGGTTTCCAGGCCCCGCCTCCTTCGGGCCCAGCTGATCTCTGCCGCCCATTAGGCCCGATACCCAGGCGCCCGGAGCCCGACGCCTACTCTCCGGGGTCCCGGCTCCGGCCCCCGGCACGCCCAGAGCGCGGCGGGCAGTGGTCAGCGCGCTGACCACGGCCGCAGCAGCTCAGCCTCAGGGCCACGCGGGCGAGGGCTGCGGGAGGCGGGGCGCCCGGGCCGGGGGCGGAGCGGCGGCCGCAGCCGTGAGCCCGCCCCCCGCTCGCCCTCCGCCGGCCGGCTGGCGCGGCCATGGAGGTCTACATCCCGTCCTTTCGCTACGAGGAGAGTGACCTGGAGCGGGGATACACGGTAGGCGCGGGCTGCGCCCGGACGGGACCACGCGAACCCTGCTCGTGGCTGCTGCGCCCGGGAGGTGCCTCCGGCCGCCGCTGCCCCTGCGCAGGGTCCCCTCTCGCTCCCCTCTCCCCTCCCCCGGCCCAGAAGGGCTGCGCCCCGGCGCGGTCGTCAAGGAAACGGGCGCCCCTCCCTGATGCGGCTGCTGTGGGCGCCCCGCGAGCCTTGGGGTCCATCCCTTCCCCCTCCTGGCCCGGCTCCGGGCCTCCCGGCAGCGGCGCGGGGACTGGAGTGCTCGGACGCGGCGCTCGCCATTCTCCCCGCCGCCTGCCCTCTGGAGCCCAGGATGGGCTGCGTTCTCTTCTGGCACAGCTACTCCCTCTGTCCAGACAGAAGTAGCTTCGCGGCAGGTTCATGGTGGCTTCCAAGTTCTGTAGGATTCATTCCGATGAAAAACATGTTACTTGTTTAAAACCACCTCTGGTAGCTGTTTTAGCCAGAGTAAACACATGTGCTGATTTTAGAGGGTTTCCAAAGTTTTCTTCCTCTTTTTCATTTAGTTTGGCAGTGACATGAAATGGCAAAATCAAGTACTTACTGAGCACCTGTTCCATAACGTAGGTCTGTGGTCACCAGGAAATGGGAAACCGGGTGACTGGTCTCAAAAGAGTGCAGGAAAGGGCAGAGGTGAAGGCACGCGCCCTTTCAGTAACAAGTTTAATGAGTGAATTGTTGGGTGATTTCCCAGTGAATTTAAACATCTGTATGCAGAGAGGCATTGCTAGTGGGGGAAACACACATCAGGGTGGGTAGACCTTGAAAGAGTTCATTTCCAGTTCAGTTCTAATTGTCCATTTCACCTTCTAATTAGTTTTCTTTCTTCCTATATGATACTCGTACTTTTTATTTCCTATATTCATCTTATTACATTGGTTAGGACCTCCTGCAAAATGTCAAGCAATAATTGTGATAAAGTTACTGACACTATTATGATGCTTCCTTTTATGATGTTGAATAGGATATTTGCTGTATGGTTATGGTAGGGAGTCTTTATAAAATCGAAGATGTATCTTGACATTTCTAGCCTAAGAATTAGCAGGCATAAATGTACTTTTTTATAATGTTCTTTTCAGGACCTATTGGAATCTATTGGAGGTATTTAGGGTTAGAGGAAGATTGCAGAGGGAATGCTGAAAGGATTATTAATTTTTTAAAAATTTTGTTTAGTTGCCAATGGACTTTTATTATTTAATTTATTTATATGTGGTGTTGAGAATCAAACCCAGTGCCTCACACATGCTAGGCAAGTGCTCTACAACTGAGCCACAACCCCAGCTCCAGGATTATTAATTTTATACACAGCTAATTCACTCACTTGCAAAGCACCAATGATATTAATTTGGTAAAGTACTTTAAAGTCTCTTCCCTTCTCTAAATATTGTTGGTGTTTGGTAACAGCCTATTTAAGTCCTTATGCTTTCCTAGCAAAAACTAAATCACCCTCACAAAGGATGATTTTAGAATTAAGAGCAGTGATTGGGAGAAAAAAATACAGAGTGTATGAGGATTTTTAGAATTAAGTAGATTTCTGGATCCAGCTTTTCCAAAATAAATACTCAAACTGCTTTTCATGGGGAGGAAATTTCAGTGAGGAAGCTATGTTCAATAGTGGCCATTATTTATGTAAATCCATTCCACTGGGTTAACATCTGGTTAAATATTCCATATTTCCTTAAAAACAATTGGACTTGAACCCATTCAGGGTTCCCCCCCACCCCTTGGAGGTTTTATCCCAGCTTCTTAAGCTTACAACCTTGGTTATCTTTGATTCTTCCAAGTATCTTGCCTCTCCCATCAATAGCAATGACAGGGCCTTTCATTTGGAGAGCATTGTTTTAGAGCTTGCAGATAAAAAAACTGGGAAGGTTCGTTGCTCCTTATTAATTTTCTTTTAATAGAAGATCTGTGTCCACCCCTCAAAGTTTTCCTATATTTATTACTTAGCAGTTATGTTTCTGTTTTAAATATTAAAAATTTAAGTCAAATTCAAATTTAAATTCCTTGATAGAAAAGTTTAAAGTTGAAATAGATGTCTCCTCTTCCCTGCTGGGTAAGAGATAAGGCCTGAGAGGTGGTGGTAGTAATTGTGTGGATACTGAGAAATTTTAGTTTCCCATGCTGTGAAAATTTGCTTGTATGTGTGACCAGGTATATTCCGGACTCCAGTTTTGATTTAAACTGATTTGAAGGAGCCCCCTTTGGGGGTAAATTTGCAAGAGTTTGAAAATTGCTTGTTATGATGAGAGTTTGTGTGCTCTTTAAAAGTTAATACTTAACAAAAAAGTATATAACCCAGATTGTTAGCCAAACTGTTAAGATACCTTTCTTTTATGTGTTTGTGAAGTGGCTGTTAGACATTTTGTTCCTCATGAATAACAGGTTTTATAATTGTAGAGCCATGATTCATCCATCAACAAATATTAATTGAGTGCTTGCTCTATGTTCCTATTCCAGGTGCTGGGTCTATACCCAGCTGTGAATAATATTTTAGCTTGAAAAAAAAAGAATTAAAATATATCATGTTTATTAAATATGTAACTAGTAAAACAGTGTATACTTTGTATTTAAAATTTTAAAATGTTACAACAAATTCTAACAAATTCAGTGTCAGGAAGTTTAGAGTAGAAATGAATGGTTCTTCTTGCCTCATGAGAGTTCCATGCCCCAAGAGATGAAATATTGGAGGGTGTTCTTAAATATTTTTTCCCATATTATGAAAATATCTTTTTAATGAATAAATGACCAATTTTTACTACAGCCTTTATCCCCTAACATATGGACAGACATCTTTTAGTTTAACATAAATGGGTTGACCTCCAGCCTTCTCCTTGTGACTGTTAGTGAAGGAATCTTTTAATAAGCAATGTACCATAATTTGTTTAGCTGGGTGACTATTTCTGGCCATTGACATTTGTTAATTTTTTTAGCAATTATATTTAATGTTAGAATAGGACATCTTTATGTCTGCTTTTTAAAGCATTACTATTTTAAATAATGGTATTATGTACATGCTCTATTAATAATAGTATTTATGTACATGCTTTATAATGTCCATTACTAGGATTTCTGTAAAACATTAAGTAAAAGTGATACTTTCAGGCCCTTTAATATTTTTACAGATTTTGCTCAGTTATCATTCACAAAATTTATGCTTAATGTACAAAGTAATTTGCCCTTTTTAAGTGAATTTTTTTTTTTTTTGTTTTTTGTGGTTATTTAAACATTTACTGTAGAGCTGCACAGTATTAGTGAAGAATTAAGAGAGAGAAGGATGTTATTCCTTCTCTTAAGGGTTCTCCTTCCACCCAGGAATGCCTTGGGGCACCAACCCTAGGGAAGGGTTAGGATACTATGTCACTTGCTGGAGGCTTCTATTAGGGCCTGAGGGAGGGAAAGAGGTCAATTCTGCTGTGCAGAGGGCATACTTGGGGTGAGGTGCTTAGGAATGCTGACTTTGAAATCTGATTAGCATTTTGCTAGGATCATGAATTTTAGAAAGAGGAAATGCAGGGCAAAAATCTCATCTCAGGGACAAGGAATTTTAAACTCCCAGATGAAAGAAGTATGAAAGGATACTGCAGATACTGTAGTAGCAAAATGTTACTACAACTAAATTCAAATGTTACTTTCTGGGGAGATTAGTCTTTTATGCCTTTCTCCTCCCCAGTAGTTTACTTGTGTACTGTTCCCTGGTGGACTGTATCTCATAGTGAGGATTCAGCATGTGCCTCTTGAATAATAAATGATTGAATCTTCTAGTGGCAGAAGAAAATCAGCAGAGCAATGATCTTGGGGCATGAAGCAGCTCCGTGGATTGGGTAAGAGGCAAGTGCAGACAAATCTCAAGTAAGTAGCAGGGATTGTGCAAAGTGATTCCAGAAAGAAGTTGGGGAAACCAGGTCAGGAGTCTTGAGAGCTCTAAAAGGAGAAAGAACTTTGCTAGAAAGGGAGTGTGGACTATGACCTCAGGCAGTTAGTCTTCTGAGAGTTTTAAGGAAGGAAGTAACATGACTAGCTTTACTTTTGGATGACTGTCTTAACCAATTTGGTCTGTGGTGACAAAATACCATAAAGCTGGTTAGTTTATACATAACAGAAATTCATTTTCCTGTGAGAGGCTGGGAAGCAGAAAATGATGGTGTTGGCTGATTCATTATTTGGTGGAGGCCCATTCTCTGATTCATAGATGATGCTTGCTTGCTGAGTCCTCCTGTGGGGGATGAAGTAAAGAACTCCCTTGGACCTATTTTATAAGGGCACTAATTCCATTTAAAGGCCTCTACCCTCATGACTTAGTCATCTCCCAAAGGCTGTCCCTCCTAATACTGTCACTTTGGAGTTAGGATTTCAATTTATGAGTTTGCGGAAGACAGAAACATTCAGACCATGCAGTAAGTGGAGCTCTCATCAGTAAGAGACACTTGCAGATAACCAGGATGGAGAGGATGAAGGCCTGAACATGGAAAGGACAGGATGACTATAAGAATCTCCAGTGCCTAGTAACTGGATATGAGGCAGCAGAGTGATTCCCATGGATACAGATGCCAGTATAGGAATGGAAGCAGGGGTATATTTCATTGGAAGTCAGCTGGGTTTTTTGGTGATAGGTATAGTTCAGAGTATTTAGAGGTCTGGGCTAAAAATACAACTCTAAGGGATCATTCAGCACAGGAAGATGAAAAACACAGGCAGAGTGAGTAGGGAAAGAGGAAGAGCTGAGGGTAAATCCTGGAACTTGTGTGAGTGAAGAAGTCTTAGCATAGCATCTGTAGGGAGAAAGAAATCCAGATGTGTGAGGCTGGAAGAGAAGGTGTGAGTGTGCTTTACAAGGGGAGAGTGCTGAGTGGTCTTGCGATGTGAGAACAGAATAAGCAAACCAGAGAATAAGCAGGACTTGGAGGCCAGTTGAGGCAAGTCTTTTCCATTTTATAATGCATCATTTGTAAGAATAACAA